CCCTTACTCTTGTGTCTTCTTCTTCCACTACTAAAACTCTCCTCCCAACAGAAGATTTATGCCGAGTGTGATTGACCATCTAACTTATCCCTTTTTCATTTTTTGAAGTATCTCTCGCCCACATAAACACTTACTAATGCATACAACACATAATTTTACTTCTCTTTCAACTATTAATTTGGTGTGACTGGAATATGCAATCTTGCCCCGTTTATATACATTTACTTCTCTTGGTAAGATTCACTTGGTCACATAATTGATATGCGTTCAACTTGTCATGCAGCTTTATTAGATGCAAGTTTGATCCTTCCTCTGGCAAAGAGATGACTCAGATGGAGATTCACAACTTTTTGAAGTCCGAAAAGGCCTTGTGATGGAAACATTGGATCGGCTTTCTTGTCCATGCAAGGAGGTATTTGCTTCCCTTAGTTGCACATGCTTTCATAGTCGTGGTATACGTTATTGTAACTATCATATATATAGTGATTTAACAGGGTAATCGGTAGCTATAGCCAACAATTTTGAACAAGTTATGATGTACAGAACATCGACGTATTAGTATTCTAACAAAAATATAAGATATACAGTTGAATTCAGAATCACAATTGTTACCAGGAAGAAAATGTTTAGTTTTCTTCTTTGTTGCTCAACTTTGCTTCATTTCTACTATGGGTAGAGATATTTGATAATTTCTCGACTTTTTTACTACCTAAGTTTTATTTTTTATGCATTTTGGACTCCTACTTACTGCTTCGATTTGCGATACTTGAACCGATTATCTTTCAGAAACTGTCTCTCTATTTCCACGAAGTAATGGTAAGGTTTGTGTACGTATGAACTTATACCGAGTTTGTTGTTTATTTTGGACAACTAAAGACTTATCATGGCAAGAGTCTCACTACTATTAATGAACATTTTTTTACATAAATTCTTCAGCATTATTATTCTTAAATCATTGTGATGATGGGATTAATTAAACAAATGTTAAAATTTATGTGATAAAAACATTAAAAATTGTTTGTTGTGTCACTGGTGAAGTGCTTGACAAGTAGTCTACCAAAGATGAATTAGGGTTTCTTTCTTAGTGCTTCTAGATAGTCTTCTTGACAAAGACCTTCCATCTACTACTTTTTTTTTCTAGGGTGTTCGGATTAATTTACACACATTTTAACTATTTTATCGAATACATGCTCCATTTTATCATCATTGATGTCGGATTTTTATCAGCCAAAATTTAAGCGGATGAAAGAAAATCTCCAACCGCTAAAACTACTGGTTTAAAGCCCTAAATAGGTTTATTTTTTTCCACTTGAATCATAATTATAAGAATCTATATTTAAGTATCTTGTCATAAGAAAAAATGAATCGAGAAAAAATATCTGTTTTTATTGAATGGAAATATGATTTTTGTCTCCATTTGAATTTTGAATTTTTTGAATTTATTCTTAGTTTTCACACATTTCATTTAATTTACCGATAACCATACTTCTTTTGTTTTCATAGTGGCACACTTGGCTTCAACCTTCTAGTAGAGGTGGATACAGTATTTAAGTTATGAGTTCGATTAAATAAATATTACATAATTAAACTCAAACTTTATGATATAACAGATCCAGTTATAAACATTTAAAGGTAAATTTATCAAATGAAAATCTTGAATCTGTCGTAGCCTTTTTAGATACTTTCTCAATCCATTTCTTTTAGTAGTTGCGATAAATATTTTTTTTGATACAAAAGGTATATATGAGTATAAAAATATAACAATCAAATTGAATTATTTTCGATAGTAAAACTCTAAATATTAAATTCATCAAACAAAATTTTGGATCCGCCTCTATTTTCCACCTTCTTTCTCAATGATTGTTTTAGCGTGTTAGTGCACAAAGTCATCGTTAAATAACTACACAATATATAGTGCACCACACATATCTCTATCCTATCCTTTTTTTAATAACCATCGAAGAACATGGTGCAGTAAATATAACTGCTTTCTTTCTTAATTAAAGATTTCAGATTCTCCCCTGGGGTGAGAAATTTTTTCAAAACAAGGAACGTTTCCCCCCAATTTGGGCCGCCCTCGCAACATGAATTCTTATAAATCAATTTTCAAGATAAATATCGAACACCAGATGAAAAACTCAGAAAAACCTACCTTTGAATTTTAGAATTCACGTGCACTACTTTTCTAGAATAACACGAAACCCTAATTTAATTGTTGACACAATTACTTGTAAGACTTGACATAATTCTACAACCATAACAAAATGTAATATATACAATGCATAATAGGATGATCATGACTATAGAATAAGATATATATTACTAGAAAAACACTTGCACGCGTTTACGTTATAATCCTGAATTTTGATCGATAAGTTTGTAACGTTGTTACAAAAAATATAATAAATAAAAATAAAGTCGATCGGTTATATATGGATATGTGCATCAATGCTTACTAATAATATATACTCCTTTCGTTTAAAAAAGAATGACCCTATTTTCTTTTTTATTATGTTTAAAAAAGAATGACCCATTTCCTTTTTTTGCAACGCTCTAACTTTAACTTTCCACGTGGCATGTTTAAGACCATAAGATTAAAGGGCATTTTGGTACATTTGACATAACTTTAATTTAAAATCACAAGATTAAAAAGTCTTATTTTTTTCTTAAACTCCGTTCCAAGTCAAACTAGATCATCATTTTTAAAACAAAGGAAGTATTAAAGTACTTTGAAGTATGATACAAGTAATATATACAACAATCTTCTAGGAAACTAATCTTGTTATTTTCACCTAAATTGTCGATTAGGACACAAATTAAAATAAACCATAGTTTAGGGGTTGAATGTCAAGATTAATGTAGTAGACTAGTTTCAAAATGTAATGGATATAAAAATATAACTTAGAGTCTTAGACGCGTTTACGTCATAATCCTGTTAAATTTATATGAGTATCGTTACATATAACATAAAAGTATAAGTTGGTATCAATATATAGTTGTAATTTTAGTTAGAAATTTTGATATTTAATTGAATGTTTCAAAAAACAAAGGAAATTATATAACAAAGAATATTCTTCATTGTTATGGTCCTAATATAAAGTCAAAATTATGTCTAGCAAAAGGGGCAAAGAAATTTTAACACATTGATAATTGGACTTAGTAGTTAATTAATTTTTTAAAAATTCATTTAGTTTATGAGAAATAAGTTTGCGTGTTGATATTAAACATTAAGTTTGTTGCATATAATAATATGGAGATAGTTGATAAGATTTTATATTGAATTTTTTGCCTAACGCTCGACAATAATAACAATATATTTAGTATGCTTCTATAATATTATTTAAGAAGTATGAAACGTACATAAATTTTATCTACATATCTTATGTAAGGTAAAGAAACTATTTTCATTTTCAAAACTCAAACTTAAAAAAAATATAAGAAAAAATCTACAATGAAAATACCAAAAAAAAGAAAATATTAATGACAAGATTTATGTGTCATCTTGGTAGCCTTTATTTTAGTTCAAGTTAATTTTGTTTTCCTGAAAAAAAAAATTAATGTTATTAAATTTTTAATTAGATGACCCTTTAATCTGTAAATAAAAACAGAAAATCCTTGAAAGTGATGCATAGTTCCTCCATTCTATACTAATTTGAGTTTTGAGCCTTTTTTTTTCCAAATAAAGTTAACTTTTCAATCTCTAAGACTATTTTTAAAATATTTTTCGAATTTTTACCCTTTAAGTTAGTATTAAAATTAGTTATTGTAATGAATGTTTAGTTATTTTTGACAATAATTAATCTAAGGGTAAAAATGGAAAATTATGTTCAATTTATGTCATAACCTACTTTTTTTTAAAGGGTGTGAGACACTTAAGGGAGTATACAATTAGAGCCGTCAAAATGAGTTTAGCCCATGGGGCCAGTCCAACCCAACCCGTAATTAGGGTAGATTGTTTAAACTAGCATAAGTCCAGCCTATGTAAGTCCTTGGCCCTTGAGGCTTGATCGGGGTCGGACCATGGGCCAAATTTTTTTTATTAAAGGATAACTTACAATAATCTTACAAGTATATAATCTAATTACTTAAATACACGTTATGTAGTAATATTATGAATCTTATCAAATTTTCATACGTCCAATACATGTATATCGGAATATATGAACTCAAAATTAGGTTAATCTTTTCTAGATACACTCTATCCAAGTAAATTTCCATGTATCTAGGATACGTACATAGACAAATCTCACGTCCTCGCCTCCCTACCATCTTGCTTGTCACTCTTTTATCATGCTCGTGTGTTTGATATGCGAGATATATGCTAATTACTCTAGATTTTTTATCTAGTGTTATTGAAACAACACTACTGTTTGTCATATTTGATTTGAAAATCTTCTCATTTTCTTGATGCTATAGAATTATAAGTTTGAAAAGAAAAAAAGATGGGCTAGCCCGCCCCAGCCCTCGGCCCTTCTAGGGTTGGATAGGATTGAACGTTTTCAGACCCTACCAAATGAAGGGACGTCCTGCATTAGCTCTTCATACAAATTTTAGTGTATATTATACACTATTTAATACATTAAATATACACGCTACTTTCAATTTTTTCAATAGTAAAAGTGATTTACTAAGATAATAACTACTTAATTTAGTCACAAAATCATTTAAAAAATCAACTCTCGACCGATACATCTATCGATCGACACACAACTTGCTCTAACATCTCAAGCGGCCGTTTCTCATTTTATCCTCAACATGTGTACTACTACTTGAACCTTCTTGTAAATGCGATCATTGAAATCTTATATCACCGCATATCCATCTTACCATCCACGTCTCTCAAATATTATCAATTAATATTTGTACAACCGTGTACCTCAAGATCCATAGTAGGTGAGAGCTTCTAATACACACTTAAAACCATTTCCTACTTCTTTAAATTCTCAAGCAAGAAACACTTTCTCAAACCTAAACTTTTAGCTAAATTTTTTTTTTACACAAATCCCAAGAAATTTCATTTTTCTTTAGACAAGAATCCATACAACCAATTAAAGAAAATATATATTTCTTGCAACATATAGCAAACAACAAACTTTATTTTTATTATATATTATACCTAGCTAGGGTTTTCCTCTTTTTGGATAACCTATTTAGGGTTTTTTTCATCAATTTGACAACATTTTTTTCCTTCAAATTTATGTTTTAGGGTTTTTCATTTTAGAAACACAAATATATAAATAATTTGAGAAAAAAAAAATGGAAGAAGTGAAAGAAGAAACTCAATTACCACCAGGATTTAGATTTCATCCAACAGATGAAGAGCTTATAACATATTATTTAGTGAACAAAATAAATGATGCTAATTTTACTGGAAGAGCTATTGCTGATGTTGATCTAAACAAATCTGAGCCATGGGATCTTCCAGGTAATACTAAACTTCAAAAATTCTTTTTTTTTCGAGACGTATGTACAATTTAATTAAACTCATACGAGTCAGGAGTAACATGTAGTTTATGCTCGCGTGTCAAAAGTGTATTGAACTCAAACTTGTAATTTTCTTGAATTTAGATTTGAAAATAGAGGTACCTAGTCCATGAAGGGCAAAGTTACATCGATGGATCCAGGATTTGAACTTTTTATCATGAGTTCTATTATATCACGTCTATTTTACCAGGATCGAATTATATTATTTGTACTTATTTAGTGGATCTTTTTGCAACACAAGAGTATAAATAGTTTTAATTAAGCCAAAGTTATTTTGTTAGATTTGTATGTCCAAAAGGGGTTCAACTGAATCTCCTTAACCGAAAAATTATGGTAGGTATGTAAACTAGGTAAAAAAATATATTTTTTGTGTATATATAAATTGTTGAATCTTCTTGATATTAGGAAATATAAAAGGATTTATTTATAAATATTGTACATCTGTAAATTGTTAAAAAAATAGTTAGTGTTTTTTTTCTTCTTGAATTTATTTGAAAACCCTAAAAAAAATTGTGTATCATTATGAGAAATTTCCAGAGAAGTGATTGATGTATAAACATAAGAGAACAATTTTTGGATCTTTCCCTCTACTTTACATATTTTTGTTTTTATTTTTATTTTGTTATGCAGTTATAAGCTATTACAAAAATTAAATACCTTCATTAAAATTTTTAACATTAATAAAATAAGAGTTAATTAGGTTAAATATATTCTAAATTATCACTATTTCACGAATTTCATACTTAAAATTATTAAATTCTTTAAAATTCCCCCTAGTGGAATATGACATGATACATGAATATCACCAGAGAACGAGCTAGGTGGGGGTTCATGGATTTCGACGAACTCAATTATTTTTCGTAGACCATGTATTTTACTAGAAAATTAGTTAAATATATATGTATATTTACTTGTGAACCCAATTCAGTGATAAAGAAGTGATTATGAAACTCCCGAACTCTTGATCCTGACTTCACCTCTAAATATCATGCTCAAATAGCTCCCTAAATTATCATTTTTTTTAAAAATTTCATACGTAAACTATGGTATGTCACTTTTTAGTAGTGTGATAGTTAGGGTACCATGAATATCGTAAGAAAAAAATGACAGTTCAAATGTGTTTTTTTTACTATTATCTCAATTAATTATATATAAGTTGTTTAATCCATCATTTTATTTAATCAACTCTTCTCTTTTTTTTTTGTGTAAATTAAATTACAGGAAAAGCAAAAATGGGAGGAAAAGAATGGTATTTTTTCAGTCTACGTGATAGAAAATATCCAACAGGAGTAAGAACAAATAGAGCAACAAATAGTGGATATTGGAAAACTACTGGAAAAGATAAAGAAATATTTAATAGCAAAAATAATAATAATAATAATAATTTAGAATTAATTGGGATGAAAAAAACATTAGTTTTCTACAAAGGAAGAGCACCAAGAGGTGAAAAATCAAATTGGGTCATGCATGAATATAGAATTCGATCCAAATCTTCTTATAAAACAAACAAGGTATGTATATATCCTCCTCAATTTATCGATTAATTATTATTCGTAGTTACATGATCAGATTAATATGAGAGTTTTCTGTCTATCGTTAATCCATAGTTTTCTATGTGGTATGATAGATGATTGTTTGCTAGATTAATTTTTATCATCGCACTCTATTTTTAACATTTATCGAGCATATCTAAGCGAAAAATTGAAAGAAAAAAAAATTATAGCATGAACCATACAACCAAAGATTGTTTTGTATTTTATATATTTATATTAATAATTGTCGGTGCATATAAGTTGAATCTATGAGATATTTTTCCTTTCTATTAAATTTTATATCCTTCATGTTTAATATGTTTTGAAATTTATTAAAACTTATTTAATTTGTTGTAAATTTTTTTTTTTTGAAATTGAAATCCCTTTGGGATTATATATATTAAAAAGTTACCTAAGTCATTCAAGTTAACTATTATGTATGGTTTTGGATTATCTATTGATTATAAAGAAGTCTTTTTAAACCCTAGATATTAAAATTTATTCATTTAAATAAAGTCATGCATGTGTAAAGAATTTATACATTATCACGAGTGTAATTTAACTATCATTGCAAGTTATAATTGCCTTTGTTTTTCAAAATATTAGCTAAAATTTCACTTATTATGAGCATTTACATGCATATTTTTTGTGATCTTTTCAATAACTTTAGAATATAAAAATTCTTTACATTATTATCAGTATATAGAAACTAAACTCGTTTGGTAAACCTAAATACATACTCATATGGTTTGTCCGGCTCTTTTTTTTCCCCCTTCATGTGACTAATTTGACGTATTATGATCAATTACCTGTCGTTGTCTTTTAGATGACTCGATAATAATTTATTTTACGCTATCAACATATATATAGAAAAATTATTTAAACTCTAACATGCTATATATTATACTCTATTTTGCAGCAAGATGAATGGGTGGTTTGTAGAATTTTCCAAAAGAGTGTAGGATTGAAGAAGTACCCTACTAGCCAATATTCAAGGGCAACCTATTCTCTCAACAACACTCAAAATAATGCATCAATAATGTCATCACAAATGATGCAATTACCTAATGATCATCAAGGGTTCCAATTGGCAATGGGAAGAAATAATAATAATAATAATAATTACATGAACAATCATGGTCATGAAATTCAAGATGTTAATAATAGGGTTATATTTCAAAGTGGTTCATCAAGTATGATCAACAATTTCCCAACACAACCCCAAATGAGTTACAATATTACAAGTTATGGAGGTGAAATGAATAATGCAAATACAAGTTATGGAGGTGAAATGAATAATGCAAATACTATGAATAGTGGTGTCATGGACCATTGTGTTGATTTACACAACTATTGGACTACTTATTGATCAAGAAGAAGCCACTTTTTTAGGCCTTGTATTTGGAAGTATTAAATTAATGTTAATTAGAATTTATGTAAGTTTGGCACTAGTGTTATAATTAATTTCTTCTACTTAGGAAACAAATTGTGTTGTAATGTTTATTTAGGAGTGTTAATTAGTACTTTGTGGCAAAGCCACTTAAGAGTTTTATTGAATAATCTGTGTAATATAGTAACTAACATATCAAGTGTAGTTTTATATGTAAAGTTTTTAAAGAGAGTCTGCTATATTTATTGTTTGTCTTTATCATTGTAATATCAGAAAGGTTGATTATGATGGATCCTCGGCTTAAGAAAAGAAATCGTATAAACTATTCACAAATAATTTTGGAAATAAAAGAAAAAGTAAAAACCACTCATAAATAATTTCGAAAATAAAAAAAAGTATAAACCACTCACGAATAATTTCAGAAATAGAAAAAAATAATTAAAAAGAAACCGTATAAACCATTCACAAATAATTTTGAAAATAAAAAAAAGTATAAACCACTCACGAATAATTTCAGAAATAGAAAAAAATAATTAAAAAGAAACCATATAAACCATTCACAAATAATTTCGGAAATAAAAAAAAAAGAAAAAGTAAAAACCACTCATAAATAATTTTGAAAATAAAAAAAATATAAATCACTCACGAATAATTTCAGAAATAGAAAAAAATAATTAAAAAGAAATCGTATAAACCATTCACAAATAATTTCGAAAATAAAAAAAGAAGAAGTAAAAAGAGTGGGATTTGAACCCACGCCCTTTCGGACCAGAACCTTAATCTGGCGCCTTAGACCAACTCGGCCATCTCAACATTTAATAGTTATTTGACTTAATTCTTATTTCAAAGTTTTTTTCTAAAAAAAATAAATAAATTATGGAGCATTAAAATAGGTTAAACTAATAAAAGAAATTGGATACAAAATTTAGAAGTGAAAAGGTCATTATTAAAAATCGTAAATATTTATCGAAAGTCATTAATGTTACTATTATACATATATGAAGAGGGATACAAATTTTTTGTCAAACAAATGATACAAACATAAAACAAGAATATGAATTTTCTTTCTCTTGACTAATCAACTTAACAATGGCAAAATTTTAAGCAAAAAACCTTATCAAGACTTGATATGTCGTGAATATTCTATAAAGTAGAGAGTGTCAACAAAATCACAACATACAAATAACTTTTTTCGATATTTTTATGATGATAGTATTCTGATCAGCTTGCATACACCTCAACTATTCCATCGATTACCTACCACATCCTACAAACACAAAATATGCGATAATTCTAGGCCGAAGCGATGAACCTATTTTACCAAGATCTTTGATTGCTTGAGAACAGATCAAGGCAAGAACCAAGACCATGTAATCGAAAAAAATATGAACTTTAACCTAAGAGAAATATGTTGAACTAATAATACAACACCAACACACTCGGTATAACTCCACAAGTGGGGTCTAGAGAAGGTAGAGTAATGTATACGCACACCTTAACCCTATGACCCTCGACTCAAGTGCATCAAATCAAAATAGTAGTGAACGAGGAAATACGACAATGAGGAAAACATGGCAACATGTTGGATTGATAATAATAATAATAATTAATAATAAAACTATGACTATCCAAAGCCAAAGCTGTGATACACCAACACAAAATTTTCCAAACATATAGTTTATGTATATCTCCATTTCTTTGGCCTTAATACACAACCCAAAAATGAAAAAAAAAAAAAAACTAAGGCAAGAGCTTCATAAACAAGCAAAAAATATAATTTGTAGTGGGACTAAAAGCTCCATATGCTCAGGGAGTAAAGGACAACCAATCTGCAACAAGAAAACACATACCATATTTCAGATTTCAGATTAAGACATCAAGCAGTAAAGGGAAAGAATGTGAGTACATATTTTACAGCAATGAAAAAAGGCTTTATACTCTCTCCATCCCAATTGTTCGGTATTGTTTGACTTGGCACGAAGTTTAAGAAATAAAGACTGCCTTTTGAAATTAGTGGTGTAAAACCAGCCGCAGACAATTTGACCGGCAATAGGTCATCTCATTAAGAGTAAAATGAAATTTTAAAGTTGAATGGTTTCCAAAGACATTCTTTCTGGGACAGACTAAAAAGAAAAGTGTGTCACGTAAATTGGATACAGAGTCTAGTGTTTGGCTTCATTCCGTGACAGTATAAACTAAACGATAAGGATCACTATATATAGGGGTTAATTTGCGTTAAAAGGACAAAGTTATTTGGATGTGCAGCTCTAGAGTTGTTATAATTATCTCTAAGTCGATACATCGCAATATCTTATGGTGTATGCTGGCCTCTCAAGTGCATGGTATCTAGATTTTATCATGATCCACGACGTAAATCATATATTGAGACAGGGGAGTTGTCTACTTTTATGTTTGCACCAACTCGAATCAACAAGTGAGATTTCTAAAAAACCTTTTTAATCACCTTCCTCCTTTATAATCTTGAATTTTCTTTTGTTTTTTCGGTCTGAAGCAGCACTTAGAATGGGGTGCATGAGGGCAAAAACACATTATTTAGAATCACCAAGAGGAAATCGAACCAAGCTACCGTCAACATCTAATGATTTTTGAACTTATCACCGTAAATTTATCTGTACCTTATAACACGGGACAAAGGGAATACATATCCAATGCAAGACGGCTATCCGTACATTAAAAGGGAATAGCTGAAAGTGATACCTGTGAAGTGTTACAGTGTGCCTCAGTTTTGATAAAAAGAAGTCTTAACTTCCTTTGCTCTACATGTCTGCATGTCCCCTCTTGGCCTTACGGCGTGAATTGGGTGAAGTAACATTGTGATCAGATTCCTTTGCCTTTGTACTGCAACATACAATTTAAGAAAGACAACAATGAGCCTCACACATTGCACAATGATAATCTCTACGTAAGGAAATGAGGGACGGATTAGATGTACTGACCAGAAGATGGCAGATAAGAATTTGAACAGAATTATAATGGGCAAAGCCAACAATGCTGAGGCCTATAGCACATAAAACCAACCAAGTTTACATTTATCAGATATAAAATTGGAGGAAAAAGTGGAGAAGTAAAGGACTGAGTAAATAAAATACGCAAACAGATACATACAGCAAACCAAATCAGCTCCTTTGTTGCGAGAGATTTTGTAAGGTCATGATTCTCCAGTGTTTCTTTGACTGTGCCTTGAAGCTTCACAGGATATGAGAAGACGTTTTTCAAACGGTGAACCAAAAATCCAATATAATACTATAAACAATATATGCATTAATCTAATAGAGGCATTTACTTCAACCAGATAAATTAGAAAGAAAAAAATCAAACTGTAGTTGTCTTATTAAACTTATGGAACATATGCCTGAGATCATACTTCAGGGGTTAATGTCTCAATTACTTTCTGATACCTGATTATGGTATGTAGTTGCAGACTCGAGGAACTTCCCATAATGATGAACTGCCACCTCTGTATATGGCTTGGCAGCAACACGAACTTTTTCAACATGTGGTTTTGCAGCAGCAGCAACATCATCAATGTATGGCTTGCTGAATTTCTTAATTCCCTGTCAGAAAACTTTTCTCAGCACTATGTATTCATACATGCATGACAAAGTCGGGAAAATGTTTTTTCTTAAACAGAGTTGGGAATGCTACCTGAACATGAGGAGTAGCTAGTTCTTGAACCTTGAGAATATGTGGAGTTATGGCACCTTTAGATGTCTTGTAAATTTCAAGAGCTCTTGTAGTTAGCAATTGTACATGTGGCTCAGCAGTAGTGGAAATCACCAACCACTTTTCCTTTGCAACTGGTATCCATTGCTTCAAACAGTAGAGCAGCACAATGAGAGTCAATGCATACCCCGACTTGATAGCTAAGACACTCGGGAAAACTAATACATATTGAATAATGTAAAACTCAGACAAATGAACCTCCATCAAAAAGAGACAATTGAATATCCTACACATTTAACAGCCACCCTTATCACTATTTAGCCTCTTCGTATTTCTAAAGGAACTTTCTCCAGAAAGATCTTTTTTTTGTGTGTGAGATAAACGTGATGTCCGGGCCCAGCTTTCTCGCACCTCAACTAATACCACGGAATACCTGCCACCTCCCACCAAGGCTATCTCCAGAAAGATCTCTTAATAATCTATTACCTTAGCAGACAAGGTTTTACCTCACAAGGAATGAGAAAACTTCGGCAGGTACATTAACACTTGTTTCTCTACACATTTAACAGCCACCCTTATCACTATTTAGCCTCTTCGTATTTCTAAAGGAACTTTCTCCAGAAAGATCTTTTTTTTGTGTGTGAGATAAACGTGATGTCCGGGCCCAGCTTTCTCGCACCTCAACTAATACCACGGAATACCTGCCACCTCCCACCAAGGCTATCTCCATAAAGATCTCTTAATAATCTATTACCTTAGCAGACAAGGTTTTACCTCACAAGGAATGAGAAAACTTCGGCAGGTACATTAACACTTGTTTCTCTAAAGCAATAGGGATTTCAAATAAATATAGTAGTTCGTTGAGGTCAACTATCTTAGCACGCGGGATTTAGCTTCGCAAGGACAAATAGCTCAAGGATAGATTTGTATGATTTCTTGTTCAGTACACAAATGGATTTAAAATCAATCTAGGTTCCATTTCGAGCGAATTTCTCAATTTCGAATAAGAAGCAAGGCAACAATATGTGCAAATACTCACATCCTTGCCAACTGCAGTTGGACTATCCATAAAATATAGTTAAAACAACTACGGTCAACCCCAAACAAGTAGAAGTTGGCTATATGAATCCTCACAAACCATGTCGCTCCGTTTAAGATCATCCAAGGCCAATATTATACAAATTAAAAAAAAAATGTTCTAGTAGTTATGATGATAATAAATCAAAAAATAAAACTATGGCAATGTAAAATAAAGAAATAACTTCTTTCAAGGTCATGAAAATGTTTGAATATAAGTGCATGAAAAAATCTTATAAGAAAGGAAGATGTTGAACATTTATAATGCAAGTTAGGCTTACTGTTTTGATTGTTTCCACATGTGGTGCAGCCCATGTTTCAGCTAGGGCCTTCTTTTCAGTAGCCTGAAAAGCAAATAGAGAGATAAACAGGTTAAACTGGCTACTTGGACAAGCATCCATTAATAACAGTAGCACATGGTCTAATCGGATATCAAACAGACAAGAAACAGAAGAGTGTACCTTCTGTAT